ATTTTAAAGGTTTTCTACAATTTTAATTTTTAGGGGACTATATGTTTTTCTGTAAATTTTCTGAGTATTATTTGTAATTTTAGAATTTTTAGTAGCTATTTGTAATTTTTCCTTTTTTTGGATTGTTTATCAATTTATGGTTAACTTGCAAATAAGATCAATTTGAGGGGTATATACTATCCTTGAGGGTTAATTTTAGTCGATGTGAAATTTTAGGGTAAAACCCTTTTTGAACTTAAATGCAAAAATTCAAAATATTTTGGGAGCTTTCTTAAAGTATCTAACTTACTAAGGATTTAATGAGAACTGCGGATATTTTGGGAGTTTAATGCTCAATTTAAAGTTCTGAGAGGTTCATTGAAATTTACTTTTTAAAATAATTAAGGAGGGACAATGATAATTTTTTAGATTTTTATAATTGTGGATAGTTAGAGCTTGTTTAGAATTAAGAGGCCCTGGCTAAGCAGAAGGAAATCTTCAAGTTTGAAATGGAAATGGCTATGCAGGAGATGAGACAATTGCACGATCAACGAATCCGGGCTTTGTCGAACCAGCTAGTGGAATCCAGCCATCGCACCCAGAACGCCACAGTTGGCAGCAATCCAGAGGTGGTCGAAATCGTCATGGCCGACGCACCGCCCAAGAATACTGGGGGTAGCCCCAATAAAAATAACAACGTTGGGGGTGGACCCACCAGTGATGATAACACTGGGGGTGGCCGTATCATTCCTCTCGACGATTATCCAAAATGGATAGTTAGAGCTTGTTTAGAATTAACAAAAAATTGATTATCAAAATTTTCTACTTTTTTATGAATATGAATTTTTGGTAATGGAAATGAATAGTTTTAATCTAATGAGAATTCTTGAGAAGATAGAATTAGTTAGACATATGTCATTTTTTAGGCTCTGTTTGGCAAAACTAGCTGAAAGCTGCGAGATTATAGCTGAAAACTGTTAAGCTAGCTGAAAGCTGTAAAATTATAGCTGAAAGCTGTTAGTTGTGTAGCTAGCTGATTGACTAGAGCTGTTTGGCAAAAGTAGCTGTATAACTAGCTTAAATTTGTTAAATGACTAAAAAAGACATGTAATATTATTGATATAAAATTAGAATTATTAGGGGCAAAAACGAAAGAAAAAAATTGGCAGCTCCTTCCCAAAGACAAACGCTACTTGAGGTAGCTTTTCAAAAGCTAATTGCAAAAGACACAATCTTCAAAATAATCTCCTCCTATTTTTGGTCACCAAACAGCTCTAATAGCTTATTAACCAAGTCAAATAAGACACAAGCTCTTAGATAAGACACTTTTTTGGTTGCCAAACAGTGCCTTAATAGGATAGAAAATTAGTTCCTCTATTTGATCTCTTTTAATATCAAATTTTGGTTAAAGATTTTAACTTTAAATTATTTCAATATGTTAGGATAAAATTAAAATATAATATCCATAAGGATTAATGGTAAAATTGACCATAGAAAGTTTTTCTCAAACTCGGAGTATGATATATCTTATATTATCCATTTTTTTTAAACTGCCTCTTTTGTCTCAAAATTTATAAAACTACCGCAACTTACATTAAAAAGCCCCAAATAAAAAAATCACCAGTCTAGTTTGATATAGTGAGATAACATTTGACTATTTTATTAGTATTTCTATATTACAGTTATAAATTAGCCTATCAAAGTTTGTGATCCATTGATTTGGGGTTTTTTAAACAAAGTTTCAATATGGGAATAGTTTAGCATCTATTGAGATTTGAATCGTAGTTCTACAAATATGCATGATTTAAAGGGTATATACAAAAATACCAACCAATTTAATTTTTGAAAAATCATGGGGATAATTGGTTATAATAATTTCATAAGTCATACAGGACGAAATGTAAAATCTCCAGGGCTTCTCAGAACTTCTCCATTTCTCTAGCGGGTTGGGAATAAATTGAGAGTTATTTAGATTTCTCATGAGCTCCTTGTTGTGTTGACGGCGGCGCCGAGAAACCAAAACAAACGTCGATCCAAGAAGGCCAAAAACAACCAAATATCAATGCACAAACCAAACACCAATTTTAACATGGTTCGGCAATTGCCTACGTCCACGGGGCAAGAAGGGGGAGGGTTTCCTCTAATAGAGAAGGAGAGTACAAATTGAGATTACAAATCACTCAAACGAACCAACTAATCTCACCAACAAATCTCTCAACCTCTCAACCAATAACCCTAACAAATAGCTCAGAAAGATCTCTCTTTTTGTGCTCAAAATCCCCCAAAACGCTCCTACAAAACCCTCAAATCGTATTGTTATTTATACCAAAACAGAAACCCAAACAGACTGCAAATATGAACCTGAACTTTTCAAAAAACCCGTCGTAAGTCGACTTATCAGTCTGCATAAGTCGACTTGGCAGAGCGAAAAACGACAACTGGAGAAGAGATCATAAGTCGACTTATCAGACCTGATAAGTCGACTTGCCAGAGCCCAAAATTAACAATCCAGAGTAGATCGTAAGTCGACTTACGACACAAACATAAGTCGACTTACCATAAATCGACTTATGCCTGTGCATGAGTCGACTTATGACCAAAAATCTGATTTTTCCATGTTCTTCTCCACACTCCCCTCATCCCCATGATCCTTATTAAAGACCCAGTTGCGATCACTTTCTCCAAAGACCCAACTAGCTAGATCTCACATGAGTTATTCTTTTTGGCCTTACCAGACTGCCTTCCCTTCTTCTTCAACACTTATCCTCACCCAAATCTCATCATCGTTCATTTGTCACATTTTCCCTCTCATTTGGTTTGGACCCCCTTATAGAAATTCTGAACTCTGTCATTTCAAAGCAATGTAAATGGTACAAGTTTTTCATTTTCAGAACTAGAAAACCCTTGCACAGCTCACATCACCGGCTGTTTGGTTGGCTTTTTTTTTGTTTGGGTTTCCCTGTCAAAATTGACAAAAGTTATCAGTTTTGGCAGCTTTACTTGCAAAAACGCCCATCTTAGAGCGTTTTTGCAAGTAAAACTGCCAAAACTGATAACTTTTGTTAGTTTTGACAGAGAAATAAGGGCAAAAAATGTCAACCAAACAGCCCCTTAAGGAACCTGAGAACCACTCAAGAGCTTCAAGAGGCTTTTATAACTCATCACTTCATATTTACTTGGGGTGTGTTTGGATTTCATTGGGCATGGGGAAGGTTGAGAGAACATAGAGGAGAGAAAAAAATGGAAGGGAAGAGAATTCCCTTCCCCTATAAACTTTCTGAATGGGATGAATAGGTTCCCGTACACTCCCCTCTCCCTATTCCTCTATACCCAAATAGACTTTTTTTTTGGTGTTCTTTTTCCCAAGGGGGTTGGGGTTCCAAATGAAGTAAATAGGTTTCCACACATTCTCATCTCCACAATTCCCAAACTTCTACTTTTTTTTATTCTACTACATATATTCATCTTCGAATTTGTTTTCACATTCTATGAGATATAGATGTTCATTATCATATCCACATCCTAACGAACATAGATAAATAAAATATAGATATTTTTTATACTATAATTTAGCTCCTTAACTTGAAAGCGTGAAGGATTTATTTTAAAGTTTTAACAACTAGGCTTCGTTTGGGTGCCATGGTGTTTTCTTTGTTATGTTTTTATAAAAAAACCATGGTGTTGTGTTTTTCCCTTAAAACATTTTCAAAACACCATGATAAGTATTTGTGGTCAACGCTAGTTTGACCCGTTACAAAATTAGTATTAAACATATTATTAATATATTATATATTAATTCTAATAAAATATATTGTAAATGAAATATTATAATATTTAGTTTACATTATTATAGTATTAGAAATATTAAATATAATGCAATATAAAATTGTATAATGTATTATAATATTATAGTGTACTTAATGAATTATATTATATTATAATTATTACATATTATTTTCAAATAATTATATATTTAATTATTTTAGTATATCAATTTGTTAGTGTTATACATTATATTAATATTTTTATAATAATATTATTTTATTATTAATATAATATTATACTATTATTAATATAATTATCATATTATTATATTGTTATTTTATTTTAAATATGTTACTATTATATAATATTTTATAATTATTACTTTATTACAGTTTATTTATTAAAAAGTTAATAATATCATAGCGATTATACTATTGTGTGGTATATTATTATATTATTATTTATTATCGATTACTTTTTTATAATTTTTATTAGTTTATTTATATATTATTATTATTTATTATTATATAATACAATGTTAACATATTAAATTCTAGTATTTAATGTTATTATATTGTTATATAAGATATTTTATTTTATTATATTTTTATATTATTTAATAAATATTACTAATATATTAGATTAACTATTGTATAATATAGTATAATATAATAAACATGTTGATAATAACTCTATATTAATCACATTTAATATATTATGTTAGAAATATTAACACATTCTCAAACTCCAAACCAAAACACCAAAAGTAAAACACTTTTTAGGTATTTTGAAATAAGTGTTGTGTTTTTGGTTTGAGGATGATTTAGCCCAAAAAACATGGTTTTCAAATGCATGGTGTTTTGTAAACACCATAGAAACAAGTAAAACACCATTATATCCAAACGAAGCCAAAATTTTCAATCCAACTTGCGTCTCCAATGAAATCGCATGCTCAAAGCACAACTTCAATTCGTAGCGAATCTTTGCAAAATTTGTTGACGTCAGATTGGTGAACTTTTGGATTTATGTGATAATCAAAACATTCATGCATCTTTGACGCACGTTAAATGGATCCAGATGCTTCCTCCCGAATCTTATCCGATCCGAATGTTGGCCTTCCCTTCACAACACCAAGATATCACGCATCTTCGTCTTCCGCTAATAATTTATTCGCTCTCCCGACGCGCAATCGAAGATCAAAATTTCAAAAGCCGCGCAAAAAAAAAAAAAAAAAAAACCCCCTAAAATTTTTTCAAAAGCCGCGCAAAAAAAAAAAAAAAAAAAACCCTCTGAAATTTGAAACACGAAAGGCGACGATGATGGCTTCAATTCCCAATCACTGCTCTCTTCATCTCCGCAACTCTATTTCCTCCACTCATCGAAGAACGCGCAGTCTCTCTTCTTCTTTCGGAGTCTCGAGCGCCTATCGTACGGTCAGGACGGTCACGATTCCACACTCGGATCTCATGGTAATCTCTCTGCGGAATTTCATCGAACATGTTATGAGTTCAATTAGTTTCTTTCGATGGTTGAGGGTTTTTTTTTCGGTTGATGGGTGGTTTGTTTGCAGGATAGGAGCAGAGATTTGTCGGCTAAGATTGAGGAAGGCCTTGGACCTGATGGCCTCGGTATCGTCTCGGTCTCAGATGTACCCTGCTCACTTCTCTTTTCGCTGTTTAATTTTTGCTGTTCTATTTACTGGTGTTATGTTTTTGTTTTTGTATATAATATGATTGTATGTGATAGTAGAGATAACTAAGTAATGATTAAGTCTGAAATGAACTGATAACTCATTTAGCAAAATGAGCTTCCAGGGTAGGAGGATGGGCCTTACAACTGGTCTATCTCTCTAGGTGCCGATCATATACATCTGTCATATATGTTTGTGTGTCATAAAAACATGAGCGTGTATGTTTATAAAATGGAGAGTTTTTTTTTGATAAAGACCCTTGTAGAAAAATAATTAGTAAAAACGACCTCTTTTTGGCCATGCCATCAAGGCTGGCCAAAAGGAGATCAATTTTGCAAAAATTACTGTTAAAAACACATGGGACTAGTAGTCCCGTGTGTTTAGGTACAACTAAGCAGACTTTAATTAATTCGAGAAATTACACGAGATTAATAGCCCTATGTATTTTCTGAACAGTTACAAAGCACATGGGCCTAGTAGTCCCATATATTATACAGACTATTCAGAACATGCACGAAACATGCTCACATGGGTTCCAACTTATCTCTTACGTATACATAATATTTCTCGTACATAAAAAAAAAAAAATCAAATTCACCTCATATACATATCCAAACATTATAATTTCCATATAACTTATAATAGATCATGTACATAACTTAATACACATCTATCAATCCCACACATCATAGTAAAATGCAATATATAATATTCCATGACAATAGATATTTTATCCATACACCAAAATATTGCAACAAAACCAAATATATCAAGTGTTTTTATTTACAAATAACCTATATCGATAACTTAAATAGAGTCCATATAGAAAATCCATAAATCAATCACATAAAATTAGAAGTCCGCCTCTTTCCTTGTGTCTCCCTTTTCGTACCGCTCAGATTGTCATTGACCTTCATGACTTGAGCTTGAACGAGCTCGCTCTCTGGTTGTGTGTGTGGTTGTGCGGTCTACCTTCATCGTCGTTCCTACAAGATCCTCCTTTCCTTCGTTGATTTGGTCCACAATGCGCATAATAAATTCTCCCGCACCATCACCACACTATTCGCTGATACATAGATGTATTTAGTCTTGGATCTATTCCTGTGACAGAAAGTGTTAGACCCTCATTTGCGCAGTCCTCAATGTCATTAATAGCATCTATTTGCAATTAAGTGAAAACATTACATATATAAGAAAATTGTAGTAATACGACTTAATAGTAAATAGCTTACAAGTTCTCTCTTATTTACACTCCTGGGCACATATCTCCATTGTTGGTGTTCATCAAGTGGAGACGTGATTTGCTTTATTACCCATCTTATAGTAATCCCTAATACCACCTGATATAATCTGATTTTTAAAGACGAGAATCAATCTGCTTCACGATACTCAAATGCCGATCGTTCCACCTATGTATGTACTGATAATGCGTATTTGCCCAGTTAATCTGACACCCACATTTCTTGATCTTTCTTTCTATTCTTTCAACTTCTTTTGAAACGTATTTGTTTCGGGTTCTTTTAAATTACAGTTAACTCAAATTACAATTCAAAGATTATAACGAAATAAAGGAAAAATTTATATTTGCTGGGGTTCTTTTTCGTGTGCGGTGGAGCGTCGATCTTGTACTCTGTTGACACACCGATTAAGACAATGAGTCTTTTGCTATTGATGAGGATTAAATTTTTTGGAAGCTAACCCAGTCTTCTCTTAGCAATATCTCTCAATAAGATCACAAATGCGATGCGTGTGCTGACTCTTCTGCAGAACTTCTCTCAACTTTTTTTGACCCCTTAAAATGGATAATCTTCTCCTTTTATAGGCTAAAAGAGAGAGTTAATGACCCCTTTAATTGTGGGTTAAGTGACCATTAAAATAGGAGTTAATGGGGAGCGATTATCCCTTGAAAATAGCTTTGAAACGGCTATTTGGGCAAACTTTACGGACTTGACGAGGTTCTCTGAAGACGTGAGTGAAGGTCGTTGCGGATGTGGGCGAGGGTCGCTTCTAACGTGGGCGCACCTTCTTCGGAAGTGGATGACTTGGTCCACGTGGGTGGAGTTCATTAGTTGGTGAACTTCACCTATCAGTTCGAAATTGACACAGATTTCGACTCTAGGCTTGGCTGACTGATGACGCCTTACGACTTGATCTAAGGTGTGTTGCGGGGGGTCGACTCGTGTCTAACTTGGCCGAGTTGAGTCGATATGGGTTGTGTGGCAAGATTCACTTTAGTCATTAGGTGACCTTCACTATAACTTGTCGTGGGCTTGACTTTGGGCCCATTCGAAGTGTTTACCCATGATCCTTCATTTTTTAGATCCAAGCTGATCATCGTCCTAAGTGATAATACATTTCGACCGTTCATAGTATTATCTCAAGCCAAATTGTCTAAGCATGCGATCTGGTGCATGCATCTCCACAATTTCAAAGCATATGAGAGGAACTCATGCTCTTCATATGACTTGGTCCTCTGTGAAAATTGGTGAATGACAAGCTAGGTCATCACCGTATGGTTGTCACTCGAACTCAAAAACATTTTACATATTAGTATCTCGTTAAAAATTTGTGGTAGACTGAATTTCCTTGAAGTAAAATTCGATACTTGATAAATCTTCATGTGATCAAGCTCATTTCTATAAAAGTCTAATTGTCTTGTTGGGGTCTCATCATAGCATTTTTGATGTTCCATTTGCGTGAATGATCAAAGTTTAGCATCTAATATCGCAACTATAATTCTAAATCAAGTCTGCATTGGTTAAATTCGAAAGTGTTTACCTGTAGCCTAATGGAATCTGTCCATCTAAAGCTCGTGTCTCGCATAATCTTGGTTTTAAAACAAGTCTTTCACACCCAAACTTACAATAAAGTCAGACATCCCTTGAGCTCTTTATTTTGCCTAAAAGGCACCTTGGACTCTGTACAGATAAGCTAAAATAGCACTACCACATGATAATGTCCCGCAAGTGTCCACGTCCTCGAGAAGTGGTCGCCACTAATCATATCAAAAAAATGCATTACAATCTATTCAAGTAAACAATTCAATTATATAAACATTCAAATTACAAATTATATTACCTCAATTGTACTTTATCTTTACTGGAATCGGGAAATAGAGACATCCCAATCATGTGCATAATATATGCATGTGTATGCTGCTCGATCATGACTTGGGATGCATCTGCTAGCAACGAGCGTGAGAAAGAATCTTCTAGCCACTTCAATCTAATATTTCCTCTAGGTAACGAGGGTGGAGATATTCCTAATAACTCATAGACTCAGCGCCAGTGTTATCGAGGCGCAAGGCGCAATGCGGGGCGCAAAGGTCTTTTACGCGCACCATGCGCAAGGCGCACAACAAGGCGCGCGCCTCACTAACTGAGGCACATAACTCAAATTAATATTTACCAACATCATAAGACAGAAACATATAAGCAACATATTAGTTACCTACATCCAAAATTATGAGAATATCAACTTAAATCATCAAATTATGTTACCTGAATTTTTAAAGTAACAAAAAAGATACAAGAAACATGTATTTAAATCATCAAATTAAGTGATTAACAATTATGAGCATATGTTTATAAATTGTCACATAAAAAGACTAAGAAATATAATTAACAAACATGACTGTTTATAATTTTTTAGTTAGTATTCTTAATTGATATTTGCTACTTAGCTTGAAAAGATAAAGAATGAATGTAACAATTACATATTTACATGTTTATAATTTGCTAGTTAGCATGCTAATTAGAGAAGGAAGTTACAATTAGCAAACAAGTATATTAAATTACTAACTATTGTTTCCTTTTTATAGGTTAAACATGAAAAGATGAAAATAGATTAGCAACTAGTAAGAAAGAGTATATTACATGATATAAATATGTAATTATGTAAATTATTTTAAAAAAATAGAAGAAATAGTATGTTACATAACACAAGTGCGAGGCGCACGTGAGGCGCATGCGAGGCGCGAGCGAGGCACACGCGAGGCGCGCGCGAGGCACACGCGAGGCGCGCGCCTCGTTGCGTGCAGCGCCCCGCCTCTCGTGCGGGGCGCATTTTGCCCAGGCCGAAGCGCCTCACGCCCGGGGCGCGCGCCTCAATAACACTGCTCAGCGCCATGTATGTCTATCTATCCTTATAACATGTGGACCATCAATGCTGAGACCAAAGATTATTGATACGTCTTGAAGTGTAATGTTTGACTATCCGAGACATATGAAGCGTGTTAGTCACCGGCCTTATCTATGCTAAGTAGTGGCCAATCTAATTTCATCCATCGAAACCTCGAGCATGTGAGAAAATAGGCTCAGACTACCGCGGTAATTCGCTCATCCTCGAGAGGCTAGCGGGTTTGCCTGAGGCTATGATCAACCATGACTAGCTCCGATCCTCTTTGCATAATAAAGAAATATAGTATTAGAGTACAAAATAAAAAATAATGGAGAAAATAGCTTTCATGTATTCGAAAAATTGTTATATTTGAAAAAGATGTAGTCTCAGAACAGTGACGTGACTAACCATAGAGGATCTTATCACTATCCGGCTTGGGAAGCATAGTGTATGTACCTGCACAAACAATTAATTACATGTTAGTACTTGCTAAATCAATAAGATTAAAATAAAAAGCATGAAATAAAGATGATAAATTTATTACTAATGAATTGCTTTCTATTTGTTCTTAATAGACAACGAGACCTATTATGACCAAGTTGACTGCATTGACTACACTTAATCCGCGACGCCACTCCTTCCCGCCCTTGATTCATAGTATCTTTAATGCGCACAGAATGAGGTCTTCCTATTTGTCTTTTATAGTGAGGTGGTAATCAATATTTTAAATATCGGATATTGAAAAAATATCGGATGGCCAAAATTGATATCAGATTGCGATTATTGGGGAAATATCGAAGATATTTGGTAAACATTGGAATGCTATAACAGATATTTGC